CTTGTAACATGACTATTATTGTGCTTCAGTAACAAACTGATGTTTAGTTTTCTGTTTGAAAAGTGAGAAGAAAAATGTGCATCATAATATTAATAAGTTGTATAATGAAAATGTGTGAAGTTATACAGGAGATCAGGTCCCTGATCTTTAGGGTCTGACAGCTGGAAGCTGTTTGAAACTTTGTTCTTCAACAGGAAAATATTCCAGAAACACAAAAGTAAACAGACAAAAGGAAGAGAAATAAAAGAACTGAGGAGCTGCCATATCTGAGTCAAACCCATGACTTGATCATGTTTATTATCTAAAAGTTGCAGAAGAACAAGAAACATTAAACTAAAAAATGACCACAAAACCTAAAGAAGTGAAGCAACGTTGTTTCCAACATCTCAAAGAAGCAAAGAGACTTCAGGTTTTTGTGCAGCTGCTCCACTGACTTCAGTCATTGTGGCTCTCGAGCGCAATAATAAACAGCAGAATCTTCAGGCTTCAGACTGTTCATCTGCAGAAACACCTGCTGTTGGTTGTTGTCTCTGGAGATGGTGAACCGGCCCTTAACTGACTGGGAGTAGAACTGAGTGTCACCACCACTGCTGATGTAGGTGATCCACTCCAGTCCTTTTCCACGAGCCTGTCTGACCCAGACCATCGCATAACTACTGAATGTGTAACCAGAACCAGTACAGGTCAGCTTGTGCGATTCTCCTGGTCTTTTAACCACTGGTTCAGACTGAGTCAGAGTCTGACCTGAAACACCTGTCAGATGAAAAAATAACAACATAATGCATTATAGAGGTGACAAAAACATCTCTCTTCAGCTCAGATTCAGTGTAATTCTCCACCTGTCCAGCAGAGGGCTAAAACCAGCAGCCCTGATCTATAATCCATCGTGTTACTCTAGTGTTCAGAGTTCTCTGTCAGCATCTCTGCAGTCAGATAAATAGAGCTGGAAGACTTCCGAGTTTTGCATCGACTCCTCCTCAAATAGATGATGCAACACTGTTACCAGTTTTATTCAGCTGCGGTTAGAATTTTATAAAAATGTTAAAATGTTCAGAAAACTGGTGGGAATTTTATGTATTTGGGTAAAACACAAAATAATGTTTTATATTTTTTGAATAAATGTTCATTATTTTGTCTCATTAGTAAACATCACATGCAAAACTAAATAGAAATTAATTACCTTATGTATTAATATGAATAGAATTATTAACCTGAAATCACAGGAACTAAAATAATTGAATTAAATTGCAGATTGATAGGTAATTTAATTTCATCCCATATTACCTTAAAGGATGACACACCCTTTGATAGAGAGAGAGAGTAAATTGATTATTTGTAATGTCCATGTGTGTGGCTCAACCAGGCCCCATGTCCATGTGTGTGGCTCAACCAGCCCCCACTCTGCTCCAGCCTCAGCCTTTACCTCACCAGCTCTGCATACCCGTGGTCTCCATCAGAAGACTAGAATGTTAGGTAATATTTAACCTCCATAACCCTGGAACCTGTAATAACACACATGACAACAAGGAAGACATTTTACCCTGAGTCTCCAAAACATGGAGAGTTAACGCAGAGAAACCTCCTCCGAGGCTTCCCCACGTCACTCCCGTGTGCTCCCAGTTCTTCAGGGGCTTTATTCACCAAATGGATGGGGGAGAAGGCGGACCTTCTCAAGTTACAGAGGTACAGAGTTTTCTCAATTAACATCCTTGCTCAACCTTTTTATGAACAGCCAACACAGAGATTCATGATGTGTAATGGGCATCTTTTAGGTCTCAAAAAGGTACATTTATAAAAATACCCAACACAGATTTTTCCAGGTCTTTACTTGAAAATGTAATCTGTGTATCTTGTGTTTTTAAATGAAACCCATCTGCTCTCCTGCCTTCTTACTGTGTTTACTGATTGTATTAATGTTTAAATTGTTTTACTGCTGCATTTACACTCCAACATGATGTTTTTATAACAGGACTAAACAGTTTTTCTTTGTTTGTCAACAGCCAGAAAACAGACCATAATACTTGTTCAGTTCCATTTCATCTTTTAGGTTCATTATACACTTTTAGATCATCTTCTAAACAACAACGTCCACATCTCTACACACACAGGAATTAAGAAGACAATCTTTATTTATTTATGTTAAAGGAAGATTTTTCATTTGTGTCGGCCTGAAACGGTTTAGTTCACAAGAACAGAGGGAGGGGTCTTCTGAAAGAGCAGAGGGCGATTTTATTGTTTATTGTTCGTTAATATAACCCTTTGATGCATAATGGTCACTACAGTGGACAGGTACTCAAAATTGTTATTTATTTAATTTTGCTATTAAGCACAGCCGCTGAAGACTTTATTGCACGTGAGCCCCTCCATTTGGACTTCAGTAAGTCAAGCCACATATTTCATGTTCAGAATGCACGCTGTCCACTGAGGTGGACATGTAATAAATTATTTGTAAACTATTAAATGTTATAAAAAATATTTGTTGAAATTTGTTTCATTCACACCTAAAGATGAATGAAAAAAATGTTAAAAAAATCATGGTTGAAGATTTCATAATTCATGCATCAAAGGGATGAAGTGGAGCTTTTGTTGCTTTACTTATTAGGTCCTTGTTATTTATATGCTTGTCTTTCCGTAAAGAAACACAATTTTAAAAAATCTGAAAGTCTAGAAAATTTGAAGTTAAAATTATAGTCTGCTGATTGTTCTCCACTGGAACTGTTGCTACGTATCTATTGCTTTATTAAAGTCGGTATTTGAACATATAAGTGTTTTAATATTAGATATTTTTAATTATTTAAATGAATATATTTTCTATTTTCCATCATGATTTTGAAAACGCCTCTAGTTTCTTTGTTACCTCAAATAAATTAAATTCCTTACAGTGAGTTCATTTAGAAAACAGAACCATGAATCTAGTATTAGTAAGTAAGATAACACACAGCAGAGCCACTGTTGGGTTTTTGTTCAGGTCTGTTAGTGTTGTGTACCACTGTGGGTATCTCACACAGTAATAAACAGCTGTGTCTTCAGGCTGCAGGTTCTGTCCTGTTATTGTCACTGTTCCTGCAGACGTGTCTCTGCTGTAGCTGAACTTGTTCTTCAGAGCATCGTTTTGGTAGAAATCTCCATTGCTTCCCCACATATGGAAAATATAATCTGGTTCTTTTCCTTCTCTCTGTCTGATCCAACCTGTTCCATAGCCATCAGTCACAGAGTAACCAGAGAGCCGACAGGTGATGGTCACAGACTGTCCAGGCTGCACAGCTTTAGAGGCTGGCTGGATCAGATCAATACTGAACACACCTGTGGAAACACAAACCAACATCATCTCCATCATTCTTCTGAATACTGAGAGTTTCTAAGTGACTATTAGTGAAATCTGCTCACAGGATCCAGCTGTCAGCAGCAGCATCAGCGCTACAGAGAACATGGTTGATGATGAAGATCCTCCTCTGACTGGAACACACACACACACACACACACACACAGCTTTCTTATGAACAACATTTATTTGCATGATGATGAATAATTAACAATATTTAAATATTTCAGAATCATTCAAAAGTTGCATTTTTATTCAATAAGATTTAATATTATTTGTATGAAAACCTCTGGACTCATTTACTTCTTGGACATTCAGGTTTATTATGTGGATCATTCAAACAGATGTTAGATTACAAACGATCATTATTCAGGTAAAATCCTCCAGAACAAAATGAAAAAGTGGATCTGGAGAATAAACCAATTAGGTTGCTGGTGTAATTAGATTACATCTGAACATCATAAAAAACTAAATGTTATCTCTTGTAGATAGCTCTTTGAAAAGCCTCAGTTTGGAGAAACAGCTTAATTATAAGTAAACAGTTTAGCTGCAAGCTAGTCATAATGGAGTCAGTTAAATTTAGAAACAAAACACTAATAGTTTAAACATCTTCATTTCAGTTTATGCAGATATCATTAATAACGTTTACTTCATCAGAATCTTCATATTTTATGTTTTCATGCAGAATTCTAACCAGAAAGGCAAAAGCAGCTGATGACATGGGTGTATTCTGGGCTAGTTTCTCCTGTTAAATAAGTCCGTTTTCAAATTATCTATAGTATCAGTACACCCCCTCTGGTGGTTTTATGTCACAGCTGTTCAGACTTAGAGGGGTTTTTGTTCAGCTGTTCTGATGTTTGTGTCACTGTGGCTCTGGCACAGTAATAAACAGCAGAGTCTTCAGGCTGCATGTTCTGTCCATTCAGAGTCACTGTGTTACTGGAAGAGTCTAAATCAACGCTGAACGTATCATTTAATGAATATTTGATGATTTCGTCAGAACTGATCCACTCCGGTCCTTTTCCTGCAGGCTGTCTGATCCAAGCTGTCCAGAAGTCGCTGACATCATAAGAGACCTGACAGCTGATGGTCAGACGCTGACCTGGCTGCACAGTCACAGAGGCTGGCTGAGTCAGCTGTTCACACTTCACACCTGAGGAGGAAAACATCATGAATCAGTCACAACAGTAAACACTCAGTAAGTCTGATCAGACTGTTTGAGTCTCAGTCACACTCACAGGATCCAGCAGCCAACAGCAGCAGCAGCAGTCCTGTTCTACAGTCCATCATGTTCAAATGTCTGTTGCTGTTTTCTGTCGTCCTCTCTAGATAAATAAGAGCTGGAAGATGTTTTACATGAACTCCTCCTCACAGGAAGGAAACAGCCTGATCAGACTTTTATGATATGATGAAATTTTTTAAAGCAGTCTTAAAAGATAAATATAATAATAATTTTTATTTTTTGAAAGCATCAAACTTTTTAGGTTTTTATCTAAATCGTTGCTTCAGGTTTTTTACAGGACAACAAAGATGAGCTCATGAATTAGCATTAGCATTGTAAATAACTGTTAATAAAGTTTTCTTTTCTTTTATTTGCTATATTTCATCCTGAAACTCCATTTCTGAAACGATTAGACAAAAATCATAAAAAATAACCACATTTTTTCTACTTTTTAAAGAAAAGATCAAATGTTGTAGTTGGGGAAGACAGAAGATTTTTTTTTAATGTAATATTTTAACAATTATTGATCTGCTAAGTCATTTTGTTTCTTGTTTGAGTGAAATGTTAATATTAATAATTTATGAGCAATAAAACTATTGTTACTACTTAAAAATGAAGAGTAAATAAATAAATCAATTACAGCAAAATGTGTTTTAACCTTGAAGCAGAAAATATGGTTTGGTGGTTAGTTTACAGATTTATCATCAACTATATTTTATTACCATTGGTTATTTAATGACAGGGAAGATGATTAACCCTTTGATGCATGAATTATGAAATCTTCAACCATGATTTTTTTAACAATTTTTTCATTTGTCTTTAGGTGTGAATGAAACAAATTTCAACAAATAAGTTTGTAAAATTTTATAATTTACAAGCGTGCATTCTGAGCATGAAATATGTTGGCTTGACTTACTGAAGTCCAAACGGAGGGGCTCAACTGCAATAAAGTCTTCAACAGCTGTGCTTAATAGCAAAAACAAATAAATAACAATTTTGAGTACCTGTCCACTGTAGTGACCATTATGCATCAAAGGGTTAAAAGTCAAGATTTACTGATGAAGTCTGATCATATCCAGTTTACTGCTTGGAGTGAAAATGTCTATCCAACCTGTAAAAACCAATTAATTCATGACAATAATTCTGTCCCCAGTGAGTCGTGGAGGATGGATGCTTATACTGAGCCAGGATTGTCTGGAGGTTTCTTCCTGTTAAAAGGGAGTTTTCCTCTCCACTGTCGCTTTATGCTTGCTTTGTATGAGGATTGCTGTAAAGCACATATGTCAGACACAAGGCCCGCGGGCCAGATGCGGCCCGCGGAACATTTTTATGTGGCCCGAGAGATAAATATCAAAAATATATTAAAACTGGCCCGCTGGCCGATTTTACCGCAAAGACTTCAACTCCCATGATCCTTTGCGGCGTCTGCGCGGAGCGGACGCGCCCCCTCCTTTGTGTTTTTTCCAGCGCCTGCTGGTGGTGTCTGCAGCTCCGCTGTCTCGGACAAACTAATCACTCCTCTCACTCAGCGCCGAGTTCACTCAGCTATTTTCTGACGTTGAAGCCCAGAAACGGAGATTCTAGCCGCTCAGTAATGTGTTCACGACTGAAAGAGAAACTTTTCCAACTAACGTCCAGACAGAGCTGATATAACTCCAGCGAACAGCGACACGCTCAAACCAGCATTGACTCTGTGGCTGCTGTCGTTGTGTTTCCTCCCCGACACACAACAACGTGGTAGGCACGTGCCTAGGGTCTGATTGGCTGGATGGGGCCCAGAGGAGCAAAATTAAAAATAAATAAATAAAAAATTAAATGTACAAATGTCCTATGATAGAATTTGTAGATAGGACTCCTATCTACAATTTGTTTCAATATTTATTAATTAACTAAAAATAGTGACAATGTTTATCTTAACCATTGACCGTTTCATTGGCACCTTCACATTAAGACGCCACCCAATTAAGGACGTCAGAGAAGCAGTCAGAGTCAGAGCGGGACACAACAAAGCTAGCAGGTGTTTTTGAGTAGGCTAACTTTCACGATGCTTTCGGGTGCGGCAAAACGTAAAAAAAAATGAAGAGGAACTAAAGAAGAGACAGCGGGGGGCTTTACAGAAGTTTCTGTCGGGCTGCTCGGGCAGTCGTCCGACAGCTGTGAACCTGCTCGAGTCAGCAGAGCCAGAGGCCGGGCCCAAGTCAGACCCGGAGGAGACACAACCCGAAGACGCGGTGGAAGATGCGGCGGAAGATGCTGTAATGCCAACGCCGTCAACATCAACGCCTTCTCAGAAGGACAAACTGGAAGAACAGCAGCCAGCCAGAAGTGAGCCCAATATAGTCTTACAGGAGCCTCTAGACCCAGAAAGGGTATTAACAACTGGCTACCCATTTGATCCTGCAAAGTGGTACCAAACTGATGACAGGATGCGTGAGTACTTTGCACTAAACCATCCCTCTCAAAATATTGGATATTCTTCGGCATCACAGAGGAAATATGGAGACATAAACCGAAGCTTAACCAAGGAACATTTCTTTAGACATGTTTCTGCTGTGACTGAGGCCTGTGATGCTGGAAGGTGGAAAATTATCCCGGGGTGGAGAATGCGAAATGGTTTCCTTGGTAAGTGTTGCTGGTTTTATTAATTATTTGTCAAATAATTTTATTAATGTTCAAATAGCAAAACAATAAGTTCACACTCAGAAAATTGACACAGAATTTCTGATTCAGCAGGAGGCAATAACAGCCTGAATGAGCATAAAGCAAGATCAAAACTTAAGATAATGTTTTCATTTTATTAAAATACTTTTTTTTAATATTATAGTTTGTATAAAATGTATACTGTAATAATTTAAGCTGCGTATTTATAGTTTGTTTTTGCACCTTTAAAACATGCTTCAGTCCATTAAAATTCATCTATTTCTTCTTGAATGTCTTTCCACTATCATGTGATTAATTTGTCAACATTTATAAATGTTGTAAGTTATTGTGTTTAGCAGAAAATCTTTTTAATTAAATGTGTTGATTAAATGTAAACAGAGCAAATAAGATAAACATATTTGCCCTGTTTACATAGTTTAATGACACCTAGTGGTTATTTGCTGGTACCGCCTTAACAATGACACTCCCAATCGATAAGATGAGGATCATTTATTAGCATTTAATACAGCTGTGTAATGATGTATAAATTATTAATATCAAAAAATTGTCTGATAGAATGTTTTACATACAACACATGACTTATTTTGGCATACAAACAACCAGCTTGTAACCAAAGACTAGGCTATGTAAAATGTGAATGAACTTTTATAAGTAAATTTGGTAAGTTTCAGATTTCAATTAATTAAATAACATCGATGGAGGGGGGGGGGGGGGGGGGGGCCTAAAAATGCAGCCTGCCTAGTGTAGTCCATTCATTTAATCCGGCTCTGTTCATCAGCACAAACCTATGTGAGCACCTGTTGTCATCTAATGTTGTCATTATTATGATGAAGATGAACAAAACAACAGGAGTCTCCTCCTCAGCTCAGATCAACCCCATGATGCAGGTATCTGGCTGGAACAGGTGAGCATCACAGTAAACCAGTGGAGCAAACAGAGCTTTAAATATGTTGGTTTTATGCTCTTTTTCTGCTCCAAAACATGAAAGTTAACAGGTGAGATGTTGCATTTTCATTTAAGATAAAATGATATTTTTATTTTGTTGTTGGCCCGTGAGAAAAGATTTAACCTACAGTAAACAGGAAGTGGAAAGGCTGCAGATAGATGAATAGAATAGAAAATCCCTTTATTGTTCCTCAGTGGGGAAAGCTAGATGTCACAGCAGCCATGACACTTATTACAGGAGGAAAAAAGGAGAATAAAAAATAAGAAAAATGAATAAACAAAAAAACATAAATCCTGAATAGATTTTAAAAATGCTGAATATACCACAAGTAATGAATACTACTGATGCCTTTTATTTAAAACTGACTTGCTCGTGTTTAATTTGGTTATTCCACATTCAGTGTTAATGCAGAAATAAGTTTGTTTACAAATTTAAAGGTTCAAAATTGCATATATGTTGGTAAAGAGAATGTGCAAATTTGCCGTCACTTTTTCAAAAATATTAAGTTTGGCCCTCGACTCCGTCCCAGAGTTTCATTTCGGCCCCGTGTGAGTTTGAATTTGACACCCCTACAAAGTCACTGACACTAGTCAGTGACTTGATGCAGTTTTCCGGGTTCCTTATATAGGAAACATTTTTTCTGATTGGCTTAATGAACTGACCAGAATTGGAATGTTTAGTATGTGAAGCGCCTTGAGACGACTCTTGTCGTGATTTGGCGCTATATAAATAAACTTGAATTGAATTGAATTGTTAATAATCTGATAATTATCACTGAGATTAATAAGAACTTTCATTATGAAAATGACAAGACTGAATCAATAATCTAAATTATTAAAGGTCTATAAAACCTCCCAGCGGAAAAGCTTTCAGGTCTTTGTGAATCACACCCAGCAGGCCTTTATAATGATGACCAAGATAGAAAACTGCAGTCAGGACTCTGAGCTCACTTTTAAATGAACATGAAACCACTTATTTACTACAGGATTCAGTAGAAAACATTTGTTTACAATGTAAAAAGCCAGAAAGCTGATCAGCACTTCATGTGTTTCTGGAAACAACAGAATGAATAAGATATCTGCCCTGGATCCACGTGCAACAAAACCGGAAACTCAATCCACGTCCAACAAAACCGGAAACTCACATTGCCAGAGGAATGGAGGTAGTGCTAAACACCAGACACAGTTCAAATTACAGGGGAGCTAAAGGGAGCCCCGCTCCTCTGAGGAGTGGTGATGAGCTCCCCTAGAAGCACTCAACTGACACACCCAGGGGGAGCCCAACAAAGATCAAGTTTCTGTGGCCAACTGCATCCTGCAGACGGCCACAGTGGCATTCTCAAAGTCGTGCCTCCAAAACAATATAACTAACTCACGGTCATTCGTGTCGGCGCATATTCTCTGGTACTTTCTGTCTTTTATTAGTGCCTGATGCGCTCCGCAGCAGCAGAGCTTATCACGCATGTTCCGGTGACTTCACCTCACTGGCGCAGCCGCGCAGTGGGCACTCCACTATTTTTATGGTCAGTTGATCCATTTGATCTGCTCAGTTCAAAAGTAACGCATGAGGTGAAAACGTAGGAAGCCAGGCAGCAGTTTTTCTGGAGAATTGAGAGGAAATGCAGAAAGATCAGAGACAGACAGGACAGAAAAATAGTCACAGAAAAACAAGAAGACAAAACAAAGTGCTCAGAAAAGAAAGGTAGATTTATCTCACTGAACATTTTTAACTGTTTAAAGCAATAACTTAGAATTGTAATATTTATATATTTGATACAAATCCCACACCCAGAGCCGTTTCAAGGCATTTTGGGGCAAAATTAACTTGTTTCATACCTGGTCCAAATATCTCTTGTTGTCTGTGACTTCAAACAGTGTTTTCCTTTGTAACGTCACGAAATGGACTGATTTTGAGATCCCACAGGTCTAATTCACAGCCAGGTCAACCTACCCCTGGCTATGACACAACATACAGTATTTTCCCCTCACAGGAGACTGGAAGTCTACATGTAGTCCCTTTAATCAGAGCCTGCCTCCCTCACACCAGCAGGACTGCAGCTCTGAGAGATAATAAGACATAAACAATAACATTCTCTCTCCAAGGTCCATCATGGAGGAACTATTTTAAATAAACTCCTTTATTCCCAGATGAAGAAGAAAGAAGATTTTATAATTAAAAATAATCATTAAATAACCTTTTGTTATTGCTACTTATAATAATTATAAACAATGAAATGTTCATTGATCTGTGCTTAATGATATGTGCTAAGCATGTTTACTGGATGAGGTCATCAACATTTGCACTCACACAACAACAGAGAAAAATTAAGTTAACACATGACACGTAAGTTAACACGTTTTTGCCCAGATTCAGAGTCTCCATCAAAGAGGGTGTGTCTCTGAGATGCTTGGTAACATCCTCAAACGTGCCAACTTTTGGTTGGTCATTAATTCATAACATCAATCCATTAAAATTAGTTTACTCTGGTTTTTCCCTCAATTGAGTTCGAACAGTCAACAGTTTGAGGGTTCTAGAGCGAGCTTCAGACCGGCCATCTGAGCATAACCTCTTTAACCAGCAAGGATTTTGACACATCTGTGAAAACGCTTTTTAAGTCCTTTTTCCGCATCTGCGAAGCTGAGAACAACAGGATATTTCCCACAGAACAAAGCTGACGCAAACTCCTTCAGAGTTATTTTAAGACGCTCGGTTCATCCAACTGTGTTACCTGGAAATGACCCTGGACGGACCTGGTCGTACTTAGGAGTTAGCCTACGGACTCCGGCACCGGGGTCTCCGACCCCCTCCTGACATCTTGGATCTGAAAGGCATCTCCACTTGGGTACGTAGAACACAGTGAGATAGCGTCTGTATGTGGTTTGATAATAATAACTTTATAGCTTATTTGCAAACCAAATTCTTTCCATCCAGAACTCAGCTTTCTGAAGATACGGAGATTCTGAATACATTATACTCACACATAGGTTCCAGACACCACCCTTTAGTTCGCATCCACTCACAGTCAATAATAGTTTAAACAATTTGTCAAGTCTTACTTGTTTGTAAAGTAAATTCTTATTTTGTTCATAAACCTGGGTGTTTCTTGAATCAAAGCGAAGTGTGAACGATCCCTTAATGAATAAAAGAATCCTAGAATCTTCTAACTAATCATGGCCAAGACCAAGCAACGAATATTCTATATTTATAGAGTATCATAGCTTTTGGTCACTAGTGGTGTTAATAATAATAAATAGCTCTTGAGCAATTCACTTAACCAATACCCTTTATTAACACTACACCTTTATGGGACTCTAGTAGTTTGTCCTAAAGTTGAAGTGGTAGCAGCCGGCTGTTTCTCCTCTGATGTTATTGAGTGGAGAACCTCACACACCAGTGGTGTTCTGTTGCAAAATGCATGTTAGTGCAATGAGTGGAGGACCCAGGGAGTGCAGAAGTGTGCTGGTTTGGTGAGACCGACAACCAGATGGTCCAATAGATGCTTTTTGACGGAAACGTGTTGTTGGAGGTTTTTAGATAAATGTGAAAGAATCACTGTTAATTTTTCTTTTAATCACCACGTTATATTTGTAGCTAAACTATGTTTTAAGTTAATTTGTTTTCCAGATTTGCAAACAAAGTTTTACTTTTACCTAAACCCTGTTTGAAAAGATTAATTTGATAATATTACCAAACAGTTTTATTAACGATGAGTGAGTCAGTTATTGCCTGTTCCAGCGGTGTGATGGCGCCTCCTGTGGTGGCTTCATGTAAAAACCACTGAGGAGTTTTTGTTCAGCGTTTCTGCTTTTCTGTGGCTCTCGAGCACAATAATAAACAGCAGAATCCTCAGAGGTCAGAGTGTTCATCTGCAGATACACCTGATTTCTGCTGTTCCCTCTGGAGATGGAGAACCGGCCTTGGACTGACTGAGAGTAGAAGACGCTACCACTGCTGTAGATAATAGCAATCCACTCCAGTCCTTTTCCAGCTGCCTGTCTGATCCAGGCCATTCCATAGCTGCTGAGTGTGAAACCAGAACCAGTACAGGTGAGTCTGTGGGGTTCTCCAGGTCTTTTAACCACTGGTTCAGACTCAGTCAGTGTCTGACCCTCAGTACCTACAGACAGATGCTTCATTAGCTGCTGTAATCTGAAGAGTTTCTATTGATTCTAATGCTTCCTTCTTACCAGTCCAGTAAACAGACAGGATGAGTAAAACAATCCCAAGGGCCCGTCGTCTCCTCCTCTGTCCCAGGCGCAGGCCCCCGGACTCTGCTGGTCCCTGCCGCCTCTCCATCGGTCCCCCGGTTCCTCTGGGCCCTCCCTCCGGGTCCCACTCCTCCCGCCCTGCTCCTTGTTCCTGTGGGCGTCTGGGATATGCCCTTTGAGGAGGGGGGGGGGGGGGATGTACTGTCACAACCTGTCCTGTCTCCCCTTATGTTTTAGTCTGTCTCCGTTAATTGCTCCCACCTGCCTCTTGTTTCCCAATCACCCTAGCTCCAGTTCCTCGTGTATTTAAACCCCTTCTGTTCTGTGTTTCATGTCGGATCATTGTTTCAGTCGTCCAGCGTGTGTCTTTAATAAACTTATGATAAACGTACTTACCTGTTTGCCTTCTTCCTCCCCGCGTTTGGATCCTACCTCCGCTCCACTCACCGGCACACATGTGACACTAGGTCGCTGGAGCGCTGGCAATAAAGCTTATTCTGATTCTGATTCTGAAAAGGAGATAAATGATGATGCTGGCATGAAATATTACTAAGTGCTTGTTTTCAACACACTCCTGAAACTACTGTTACTTATTATTACTAAATATTTAACAGTGTTATTGTGAGATGAATTTATTATGATGGCAAAAAGGAAAAAGCTCATTTAGCTCTCAGGCTGTTCTTTGTAAAAAAACTGCTGATGCTTCCTGTGGTTTGAGTTTCATGTGTTTCTGTGGCTGCTGACAGGAAATAAGAATGACAATTTTATTGTCCATCCATCCATCCATTTTCATCCACTTATCCGGAGTCGGGTCCCTGGGGCAGTAGCCTAGGGCGAGAGGCCCAGACTACCCTCTCCCCAGCCACTTGGGCCAGCTCCTTCGGGGGAATCCCAAGGCGTTCGCTGGCCAGGTGAGAGTATAGTCCCTCCACCGTGTCCTGGGTCTACCTTTAGGTCTCTTCCCAGTTGGACGTGCCCAGAGAGGAATTCAGGAGGCATCCTGACCAGATAACTGATCTTCCTCAACTGGCTCCTCTCGATGTGGAGTGGCAGTGGGTCTACTCCGAGCCCCTCCCGAATGACCAAGCTTCTCGCCCTATCTCTAAGGGAGAGCCCAGCCACTCTTCGGAGAAAACTCATTTCGGCCGCTTGTATCCGCGATCTCGTTCTAAGTTTATTGTTTGTTAGAATTTATTATTTTTAACAGGAACAGACTCCTAGATCTGTTCTCGTGGGTCTGGGACACAGGGACAGGACCCAAAGCTGTTCCCAGACCAGCCTACAGATTACTAGCCTGACCAGCCAGCCCCATGCTTACTTGTGAAGCAATAGTTCTCTGTGTTGACAGAGGATGAGTCTGGCAGGCCAGGCTAACAGATAACATCCCTACAGATGGATTCAACATTTACTCTGATGTAATATTGGGTATAAAAAGTTAGTCATTGTTCACTGACTGTCATGCCACCGCTCCAGCCTGGCCCGGTTTCCCCAGCAACCACAACCAGCTCATCATCTACCTGATTCAAACCACCTGTCTCACATTAACTCATCAGCTCCACCTGCAACCACTTCTATGTAACATCAGGAAAAACACCAAGCCAGTGTCAGATTTTTGAAAGCATTTTGTTAGTAGATTCTCCAGCATTCTAAAACCATGCCTAAACCTCAAGTTCCTTACCTTGCTTCTGAACCTCGACCTTGCCACCTGCCTGCTCGCTGACTGGATTATCTCATATTCTGATCTTATGGACTCCTGACCTTGGATCTGTTACATGGACTCTGCCTCTGGATTTCCCCTCCTGACCAAGCCTTCTGCTTCTGCCCTTCCTACAGACTGGTAACACTCCCCTGTGTGTTCTCAAATAAAAACTTTAAAGTGTCTTACTGTGTCTGGTGCTTTCACGGGTCCTCCAGCCCTGGTTGTTACACTGACGGTAATAAAAATAAATTAAAATCTGAATTTTTAATCAGACTTTAATGGGACAACCTTTAACCTTTTTAAACAACTAGTAAACAACAAACACTAAATGTCATTAACAAACATACACAAGACATTTTCCTATAATGTAGTAAAAATATAGGTGGTCCATGAGTGCCTCCTCTGGTTTATATTTAATACTACAGCTTTTCAGACTGAGGGGTTTTTGTTCAGCTGTTCTGATGTTTGTGTCACTGTGGCCTTCTGGTACAGTAATACACAGCAGAGTCTTCAGGCTGCATGTTCTCTCCATTCAGAGTCACTGTGTTACTGGAAGTTTCCATTGAAATGCTGAACTTGTTTCTGAAAGAATCTTTGTAGTTAGTGGAGCTTCCACAGCATCCTTCACCGATCCATTCCAGTCCTTTTCCTGCAGGCTGTCTGATCCAGTGTGTCCAGTAGCCACTGAGAGAATAAGAGACCTGACAGCTGATGGTCAGACGCTGACCTGGCTGCACAGTCACAGAGGCTGGCTGAGTCAGCTGTTCACACTTCACACCTGGAAAAAAAGTGTCTTCTTATCACCAATGACAAGTAATTATTTCTAAAATGAACTATAGACAAAACCTGCAGAAACTGACCTCCAGCTGCCAAGATCAGCAGCAGAGCAGCAGAAAACATGATGACTGATGAAACAAACATCCTGTGAACTCACCTCTATAAACTGATGAGACATTTTATAGCAGAAAGGAGGAGCCTGAGTTTGCATTGAGTCTGATCAACAATCTAACAGTGAAATGAGCCTCAACTGTGAGAAAAATTGTTCAGAAATTCCTCAAAGATAAATACATTATATATCAAATATAAATGTTTCAACCAGAGAATAGAAACAAGTATTTCTGATCTCCTGATGACCCTGATGAGCAGAAGACGATGGTTATGATGAACAAACCCATCGCTTTGATGAAAGACGGTGGCACAGGAGTTAAGTGCTCGCCCCGTAATCGGAAGGTTGCAGGTTTGAGCCCCGCTCAGTTTGTTGTTGTTGTGTCCTTGGGAAAGACACTTAACCCAGGGCAACATGTGAGCTCTTCTGCTTTGGAGCAATGGATGCCAACATTGGAAACAGAGGCAGAGCCAGAGGAGTGAGAGTAAGGGAACATCACAATGTGTGCAGCGCTTGGTTACCATGGCATCCTCCATCACCATGCTACCCTTGGCCCCTACAACTCCGCTCATTTGATCACATTCCTGTACACCCTACACAACACACTCATTCCACCAGATCAGGTAGGTGGTCCAGAACAGCCCAGGTACGTTGTCATTTGGGACAACGTAAGTTTCCGCAGGGCTGCTGTGATTCATAACTGGTTCACTGGCCACCCACGCTTTTTGGTTGTTTATCTCCCTCCATATTCTCCATTCCTCAATCCCACAGAGGAATTTTTTCTGCCTGGAGATGGAAGGTGTTTGACCGACAGCCACAAACACGTATAACTCTTCTCCAAGCTATGGAGGACGCATGTGGAGATAAAGCAGCTGATTCTTTTCATGGCTGGAATCGCCATGCTAGGAGATATTTCCCCCGCTGCTTGGCCAGGGACAACATTGTTTGTGATGTGGATGAGGCGCTGTGGCCAGACCACAAAAGAAGAGAGGATGCAGCATAGTTTTTTTTTTCTTTTTACTGTAACTGTATACAGTAAATTCTTCTGTTGTATGTAGTGTATGTGTGCAACTTTGTGTTGGTTGAGAATGGAATATACATTGTGTACAATGTTTTGTGGGAAAAATAAAATATTTTCTACCATGTATTTGTGTGTTCAGAGTGTAAAAACAATATTCTGAAATATTTTACAACACATGTATGTATATACTGCCTGTAGTAATTGTAACACTGAACCAAAAAGGCTTTAGTCATTATGATGAATGGAGAAGACGTGTTTTCCATTCATCATAGTGTTTAACACTGAGCATATAAGTGTTCTGCTGGTTCTTATAAATGTCTATTCATATGATGGTTTGTGTGTCATTTGACAACAAAATCACATTGAGAGGAGAAATAACATCGTTTTGAATGTGAAGTTTCATTTAGCAGGTTAATTGAGGGGTTTTGCCCATTGTGTGTGTTTGTTTTGGATTTGTGTGTAGAGTTCTGAGAATATGAGGCACGCTTTCAGGAAATGTGTGTAAACAATTGAGAAAAACTGTAATATGCAAACACAGTAAAACTCATTTGAATCGTCCTCCATACATTTTTAAATGTAGTAAAACTATTGGTGGTCTATGAGCGCCTCCTCTGGTCGATCATTACTACTACAACTGTTCAGACTGAGGGGTTTTTGTTCAGCTGTTCTGATGTTTGTGTCACTGTGGCTCTCTGGCACAGTAATACACAGCTGAGTCTTCAGGCTGCATGTTCTGTCCATTCAGAGTCACTGTTTTACTGGAAGGGTCTAAATCAATGCTGAACTTGTTCTTCAGCGACTCTTTATAGGAAGAGTCTCCAGTATATTTCCACCCGATCCATTCCAGTCCTTTTCCTTCAGGCTGTCTGATCCAAGATGTTCCATAGCTACTGAGAGAATAAGAGACCTGACAGCTGATGGTCAGACGCTGACCTGGCTGCACAGTCACAGAGGCTGGCTGAGTCAGCTGTTCACACTTCACACCTGAGGAGAGAAATAATAAATGCATTTCAGTCAGCAAAGAGTCAGTGTAGTTTAATTAGACTGATTATGTGAGACTCACAGGATCCAGCAGCCAACAGCAGCAGCAGAGCTACAGAGATCATGATGGTGATGATTTGGTTTGACTGACTGAGAATCTCAGGTTTTTATAGCGTTCTGGGAGGAAGTTCCCTTTGCAACGAAAAAAAAACTGTTTATAGAACAATCATGAACCATCGTCTAAATACAGCCGAAGACTTCAACCGATAAGAGACATTTAAAAAAAATATTCTGTTGTTTAATTTTCATAACAAGGTTTTGTGTTACTGTGAGCTGCAATGGAAAATATTTATTCAACAAATGTCCTGCAACTATTTTTAACACAAAAAGCATTTTGTTCAAAGTAAATAATAATCAGAGATAAACATACTACTACTACACAAGACATTAATATTAACTTGCATATTTTTGGTCTGTATGAGGAAATTTTGAGCACCTGGAGAGAACTCATGCATGGGGAGAACATGTTGGCTCCATGCAGAAAAGCACAACTAGGATTCAAACTTGCAACCTTTTTGCTGTGAGGCAACAGTGATACTAACTGCATTCTTAATCACACCTCATTCAAAGAACAGGGTGAGTAAAAGGCTTCTGTAAGACTTGATGGTGTCTTATTTTAATTTAAATGTTTAAATCAGGTGTTTTGATGCAGAGAAACAACTAAAACATGCAGGAAAGTGGTCCTTAGACCAAGGATGCTGTATGGCAGTTATTTTAAGAACAACTGAGACATCAGATTCATAAAAAAAGACATTAAACAGGAGTTCCACAAGGTTCTAATTTAGGACCAATGCTTTTCTGCTTGTACATTAAAGACCTGTCTGACAGCTGTAGGGATGTTTCATGTCAGATGTATGCAAATGTACCAAATCAGGCTGCTAAGCTGCTGAACAAGCCAACAGTGGGAGCATCTCAGCGGTTTCAGAAACAAATTTAGACTCCAAACTTCACCAAAACTGTCTAGTACTTTTGTTACTGATCAGAAGGAAATCCAAAAGGATTAAGAGTTTACTCTTTTAGATTATAATTTTAATCTCAAAGATCATATTAGCAAGGTTTCCAGATGTACTGGATAATAATCTGAACTGTTTTCACCAGAAGATCATGTTGACCTGTAAAAATGCCCTAGTTACCTGGACACCAGGATCCCGTCACCTTTCACGTTGTGCCATTGCTTGTGTCCAAGCAACTTAATCTGCTTTCAAAGTGTCGATGTCATTCAAACAAGCTGTGGGATTTTTATACTAAACCAAAGAAAAAGACATCACTGTAAAATACAGGACAACTGTCATTTTTGAAGCTTTCAGTTTCATGTGTTTTTAATTTAAAATTTTTTTTTTATTTAAATGCCTCAACTTTCTGCTTGCAGGGGTTGTGAATGAAATACAGTTTAAAGTCAGGAGCTTCAAAAAGCTTCCAAGTAGAATTTGGATAATCTTCTCTTTAATTCCAGCTAAAAAACTAAATTATATACTAATTTGAGTTTTAACTTCCAGGTGAAACGGGAGGAGTCACGTTATTTCAAAATTGGACAATTGCTGATTTATTTTTTCTTGTCCCTCAAATCAAATTAAAGTAAGATAGTGATGTGGGTGTCAATATCTTTGAAATTCTTAAATGAACAGTTTTATGTCTAAACACATGCTGACATGCAAATACATGCAGTGTGAAGAACTTTTTTCTTGCATCTGCAAAGTTTATTTATATTTCTTTCAGTTTCTGACAGATTTCACAGCTGCAGCTGTTTTCCCAGAAGCCAACAGAAAAAGAGGAAGTGACTGCAAATCATCAAACCGTTAACTGATAACTGAAAGTCACCGCTTACAGACTGTTCTGTTGAAGAAGGAAACAAATGATTCAAAAGCTGTCTATGCACATGCAGACAATCGCTGAACAATCAGAATTATGCGTATTTGTATGAAAAATTGCATTACGTTATAACCTATAGCTGTTTTGCCTTCAGTCATCATCGAGACCCGAAGCAGGTTGTGACTTTTCCACACCCGACATTCAAATTTAACTTTAATGGTCTTTATGTCAGGATGACAGAATAGGTGTGATTAATTAATAGATCACAACAAATGTTAATTACAGGTTAAAACATTTTTAAAATGTTCTTTGACAGCACGTGTTTCATATGTTTCCATTGTCAGGATTAAAGATAGAACAAGACTCTGTCAGGCGTTCTCTTATATTTGTCATGGTCTACGTTCTGCGTCTCCCTCATGTGTCTCCTTGTGTCCTCCATTCCTCTCTAGGTTCCCCTTTATATGTCTCCTAGGGTTCCTCATGTGTCTCCTTGTCTGTGTTTCCCCCTCAGGTGCCTCCTTGTGGTCCCCAGCCCCTTCCAGGTTTCCTAGGTTCAGCTATTCATTTTATTAGTCTCCTTTAGTGTGTTTTCCTTCCCCCTCACTCCTCAGGTCATTAGTTATTTATCTGTGGTTCTCCTGTTCCCTTAGTCTTTTAGGTTTATTTATTTAGAGATTCACTGGTTAAGATTTTTCCCCTCTGCTTGGTTTCCCCTTCCCATTTAGTTAATGATTTCACCAGTCTCCCCTCAGTTCTCTCTCCCTATGCATCTGCTCCTTGCCTCCCAATCACCCAGTCCCTGTGTGTATAACCCTGTCTGCGTCTCATTGTTTTGTCGGTCCATTGTTCGTGTCAGTGTTCTTTTGTCGTCCCCCGTCCCCACCCCCCTTCTAGGTCTCTAGGTTATCTGGCTTCGTGCCCTGCTTGGATTTTATTTATTTTTTCATCATAATAAAGGAATGTTTTCTTCCACATCCGCTCCTGCCTCGTGTCGTTCTAGGTATCTGCGTTTTGGGTCCAACTCCCCTGGCTCTCAGTGTGACATTATTAATGTCTTGAATAAGTGTGAAATAAGGTGACCATGTATTTATTCTGGTTTGGTATAACATACATTTACATGTGTTCTGTTGATGCTTTTACTCAGGCCTGTGTCCCATGATAGAAGGTGGAAATTGTTAATTTTTACTAAAAAATTTCCTAAATTTTCTAGAAGCATTTAATTGGGTTCTTAATTTCCTTATGGACCTTGTGCTGCAGGAAAGGTCTGAACATCTTGTGCAAGAACTTTTCCCATAATGTAGATGCGGAGCCACCATGAGCATCTAGAACCCTTCCAGGAGTCAGAAGGTGTGAGGAAATTGAGGCGACTTTGGTTGGGAGCCTGAGACAGACTAGGCAAAGAAATTCTGTCATTTCCAAGAATGGCTCAACAAAATGAGAATAAACTACAAACAAAACAGGGAATGATTACAGCTCTTTATTATTAAATTATGTTGAAATGTTGCATGAATGTTGAAATGTATTCATTTTCACAATGCAGGAAAGTTTGACCAGTCATCTTGTGCAGATCAGAGTTAATCAGGGTCAGATTCTGAACTCCTGAGGAAGAAGAGGGCAGAAACATCCAGAAGGTTTTCAGAGAATTGTTACCACAGAAGCTACTCCTGAAATTCCAACTTTATGATATTCTGAGCTAAGAAAATAAGTTCTAACAGATAACAACATCACAGCATTCTATTTACTCTTAAACCACATATTGATTTTCATGATTTCTTGTTTTTTCAAAGCTGCAACAAATGAAAATGAACACAAACTGTGACAGAATAGTGATCAAAATGGTGAAATTATTGCTTCGATGCATTTGAATTGGCCCCCATTAATAAAGGCACTTTGAATTTATTATAAATAATGAGATTTATTGAGTTTATTACTGTAAATAATGGTGCAGGAAAATAAAAAATAAATATGCTATTAAAGTGTTGAAGAAAAGAAAATGACGTTTGAAAGCATGAGAGGTTAAGATCACTTAGAAACTATACCAGGAGGAGTCCCTGAACACTCACAAGGTAATAAATACACACCAGATTTTGACATTTCAATCAAACTCGTTTCTATGTATCTGTTGTCGCTGTGAAGGAGAACTCACAGAGTCCAGCGTCCTCGGGTGTATCTGACTCAAACGCCACCCCTCAAGCAAGCCTTTTTTAGGATGATTTACATAAATGGGTCGTGTGCAAAAGCAGCCTTTCGTCAAAATTGGCAAAACATATAAAAAGGTAACGCTTCCTTTTACAGCCCACTAATTACTAAATACTTACATTGCAATTACATGGTAAGTTAAACTGTATTATTGTTTCTGAGTTCTTAAACAGTTATTACCATGTTACGCAGGTTCAATTCTAGTGTTCATTTTATTAATCATTCCCAGTAAATACTGCTTTATTCAATAATTACACTTTATTACAATTACACACTTTAATTACACAATAATACACTTTGACTTACTATGTAATTACCATGTAAGTACTTAGTAATTAGGGGACTGTAAAAAGAAGCGTTACCAATAAAAAATTCTAAATCTTCTCTGACACCATCTAATGTTGTGCAGATCATGATTTTGTGTCAACCTCTTTCCTTTGTATCAATATTTAATTACTGCATTAATACTTTTGTGTAATAGAAGGTGTTATAAAAGAATCATCAACTACATCATAATAAAGCTGAACAAACTAATCCTGTTTATCCAAATCTGGAGGTTAGAGAACAGCAGCCGGCCATTAAATCTGACAGAGCTGGATTAGAATGTTTCAGCTCTTCAGGAACCTGAGATTAAATCAAATTTTAAAAGCAGCTCAGTCAAAAACTCCTCCAGCTGTTGAAAGATATCAGAACAGAAACATCAGGTTCTTTTTAGCTCCCCCTAGAGGCTGTTTAGTTTTACTGCTGCTTCTTCTTCTATTGCTTTTTATTTTTAATTATGTTTATACATTGCTATTTGTGGCATTACAGTAGTTATTTATTTATTCATTTATTTATTTATTTATTATTCATTCTTTCACATATTTTCTGTTATTTGTCAAATGAAAATAAAAATCTAATTGAAAGTGTTTGACGACCAGCTTCTTCCCTTAACACAAAGGGACTAAAACGAGCTCTAGCAAGTGTTCAACCTGCAGGATCAATAACTTTAGGTTCATTTTCATTTCTAGCTAGCCTGAAAAACATTTTTTTCTTTCATAATTCTAATATCCTCGTGAATAATAGTAAATGAATCCCTCTCATTTCTTCTCACCCTAATTTAGCCGTAAAAATGTGCACATAAGTGACTTCTAATAATTTTGTCTCATTCATTTTTTCATACGAAACAATAAGAGCATGCAGCACATAAAGATATTCAGTCACAGCATTTTCAAAAACAGTCTATTCTCAATAAAGATGGATGACATTGTGGTTATCCTTCTTGCATTTACAGTCGGTCCTTTCAACTGATCACCGGGGACATCTACAAACCTCTTTTATTAGGATAAACTCACAACAATATCTCTTCTCACTCATTCATTATTATTGCATCAGCATCCACATTTTTACAAGATGAACCAGGAAATGATTGGAGCAGGATAAGTGTGGTTTTCCATAGGGAATGCAATCTGTCCCTTAATCTATCAAATATTAGCAGGATTGGGGTTATTATATGTAATGCACGTAAGATCGTTTCACTGCATTAGCTGAAACATGACGTGATTCCCATAATATGTTGATTTTGAGTTATTTTTAATGACATTTGACTGATTTGTTTGATTGTTTTAGGGCAAAATTGAAGAATTAAGAGACTGTTTAATGAACCTGTAAGTAAAGAGATAAATCTGTGCCAGTGGTGGTTAGAATCAGACTTTTATAATTATAATACTACTACTACTACTACTGATAATAATAATAATACGTATTATTATTATTATTATTATTATTATTATTATTATTATTATTATTATTATTATATTACAAGTAAATTAGTACAAGATTTTACAAATGAGGAGGGAGAGAGAGGGAGACTTTCTGTAAATGCTAATGTCTGACTGTGGGACACTATGGACAGCATTAAGTCTATGTTTTCTCTCCGGACCAAAGCTGAAACAATAATCCATTTGGGACGTCACATCCCACTCAGCGTCGATGCATAGTTCACTTCTGATCTCAGTCCATGAGCAGACAGACCCTCAAAAACCAACAGTCAGGGCTGGGAGCAAGTAAGGCAAGACATTTTTTCATTTATTTTAAAGTAATTTAAGAGGCCAGGAATCAGCCCAAGACTCTCAACATGAATGTTAAACAGCCCTGCATCTTTCTCAGAGGAGGAGGAAAGAGGAGACAAGTAAGTCATCTGGATTATTTAAAGGCACCGTCTGGCATCCATGCTATTGGATTTATTAATTTTGTACTTATTTATTTAGTTTGGATCTGAACAAGTTTCCAAGCTTGAGTGACTTAAATATAATTAGAATGTGTTGCTGTCTCCTTTCTCGCTTTAGCAGGATTGATTATAGTTAGTCTATGAAGTTATGGTTGGTGCCGGAGTTGTTTTCAACTCAGTTTTGGTCCAGTTGCCATGTCCCGTCTCAAACATGGACAACTTTTGACTTGGTGCCTTAGGGGACAAATTAGCACCTTCCTGCTTCCTGTAAAGTCTGGAAAACATTGGATCAGCTAAGAGTCTTTTTGGTTTTTAAGCGTTGCATTTTATGATAATTGTCCAAGCGGACAGTTTACCAAGTTGCCATAATCAGCTATCTGATCATCTGATATTTTACTGCGATGGTGCCAGAGAAGCTCAGTGCCCATCTCATAACCAAAGGGTTACTGGATAGAGCGCCACTCAGTCTGTCACAGTTGTTGTGTTCCTGGGCAAGGCATTTCACCTTCCTTGTTGCTGGTGGTGGTCAGAGGGACTTGGCAACCTCACGTCTGTCGGTGTGTCCCAGAGCAGGGAATGAGCGAATAGGTGAATGATTGGTTGTGTTGTAAAGCTCCTTGGGGTTTTTTAAAATCATAGATGATGCCATACAAATTCAAGCCATTTACCATTTGCTGTGAGTGTGTGTGTGTGTGTGTGTGTGTGTGTGTGTGTGTGTGTGTGTGTGTGTGTGTGTGTGTGTGTGTGTGTGTGTGTGTGTGTGTGTGTGTGTGTGTGTGTGTGTGTACATATGTATATACATACATATATTGAACAGATATACATACACAAATGTACTACAGGTAAAACAAACTGTTTCGTTTAGAAAAATGTGCTTTGTGAGTAAATGCTGTATATAAACACATTTATATGAATTAATTCTTGATTTACTGTTGTTGTGTTGCAGCCGAGACGTCTCACCCAGGAAGAGATAGATGGTAATATAATTTTCAGGTTTTCAGGTGTTCTTGTCCTGATACATCATGAATCTTATCTCTTAGGTTTGTCATTGACATTTCTCCATTTGTCGTACTCCTGTGTGACCGGTAGAGCTACGAGAGGCTTTTGTGGAGTTTGACAAAGACAGGGACGGCTACATAACCTGTAAAGACTTGGGGAACCTGATGAGAACGATGGGTTACATGCCGACTGAAATGGAACTAATTCAACTGAGCCAAACCATTAACATGAACCGTGAGTATCGTCAACGTTTACTGAACAACTAATATCCTGACTCTAGTGTGCAGATTTCTGATTGATTTCAATTTGGTGAAGCAGATTAGCTCTGATTGGATTGATGAGCTAGCATTTTTAAGCCTAATCAAAACAGTTAAGTTAAGTTAAGTTGAGTTGAGTTGAGTTAAGTTAAGTTAACTCATTCACTGCCAGCTGTTTCCTGACCAGAAAAGCCCTTTGCTGCCAGTGTTTTTCTGTGTTTTTACTGTTTTTTTAAGAGTCACAGAACGTTGCGCGCTAGGATGATGTCGACGCCATAACAACCAACACAAAGCGGAGACTCACCTCTCACATCAGGAAGAATCCGCGTGTTCCGAGCGTTATCCGTTCTTTCAAAATCCGTTGTTGAATTGTGATCGGCAGAAGCTTTTCTGTTCGCGCCTCACTTTTTTTTACAGCAGCGGCCCAAAACGATCTCCTAACCCATGGATTTTCTGCATCCTGATCACGTGACGTGTGTCATATGCAGATGAAGATTGACTTTAGAGCCAAGATGTTTGTTCTCACGGTGTGGGGGCTCGTTCCGACGCCCACACAGTAAAAAAAAATGCAAATGACAACTTTGGTTGTCATTAGCAGTGAATGGTTGGATTTAAAATGACGACTTTTGTTGTCAATGGCAGTGAATGAGTTAAGTTAAGCTAAGCTAAGCTAAGTTAAGCTAAGCTAAATTAAGTTAAGTTAAGCTAAGTTAAGCTAAAGCTAAGCTAAAAGTAAGTTAAGTTAATTTAACTTAAGTTAAGCTAAGCTAAGCTAAGCTAAATTAAGTTAAGTTAAGCTAAGCTAAGCTAAGTTAAAAAGTAAGCATTCCCTCCAAGGAGAAGATTCCTGCAAAAAATAATAAATTAAATAAAATAATTTCAGAAATGTTCTGATTTATTTCATATATTTACAAGAAGACACTTGGATGTTTTCAGTCATAAAGTCGCACATTTGTAAGAAAATAAATTACAGTTCTCCAAGGATCATCTCTGACATTAGCAAGAAAATAAATGTACATTTATAAGGAAAAATTACTTGTCTGTATTTTTAAGAATGTCATTTGTGACGTGTAAAGTCAGGAAAACGTGTTCTTCAAACTCATTGTGAGAGCTCAATGGTACTCTCTTATTTACCAAGTATTTTACAGTTATTAGCTAAAGCTAATAGCAATTGTATTTTTCCATTGCAGTTTGAGGTTCTTTCAGGCTAATATTTTAGTTGAAATGACATTGGGTAAAACTAACATGAATTGGAGATGTCCGATGTTATTGCTCTACCATTTATATCAACGGATATTATCATTAAAATGTAACATCTGAAATTATCGGTATCAGTTTTTCATTTTTCACATTCTATGTGAACATTTTATACATCAAACTCTTCAGCTACTTCTCCTCTTTCTCAAATTTTCAAAGTATAAGAGGTCCGAAGTCTGGTTTTTGCGATATTTTGTTTGTTTGGTTCAACCGGCCTAACTTAAACGGAAGTAGTCATATTTTGCACAGAAAATGCTCACAATTCAAGCATTAATGAGATGAATATCAAATATTGGTTAAAAATAATGCTGATATTGAGCATCCCTAGTAAAAAAATTTTATGGCATGAGTCTCGTGTAGATTTTTGTTTCTTTGATCTTGGCTACATTCAGACTAGCCTTTAGCTTATCAATCCCTTCTTGAACTAAGGTAAACCCACGTCAAAGATCTGAACTAGTGCTTTAAATAAATGCAGTCATTAAATGATAAGCAAACATTCAATGATAGACTGCTTGTTTCCACAAAATTTGAGTACTTAGCAAAATATTCCACTCTATAATATTGTTCAGTAAGTTAAAGTTTAAATAAAGCATAAACAAGTAATGAGACCATCCTGTTGTGCTTGTCCAAAAGTGGGCGGACGAGTGGACTTTGAAGATTTCGTGGATTTAATGACCCCCAAACTTTTAGATGAAACTGCTGGGATGATCGGCTTGAAAGAACTCAAAGATGCTTTCAGAGAGGTGAGTTTAAAAACGGTTATTGTATTGTTTTGCACACAATTTCATTTAAAAGCAGAATGTGGCTACACTTTGCATAAAAATGTCCCTTTTCTTGTTTCTGTAGTTTGACATAGACGGTGATGGCGCCATCACGTCTGAGGAGCTGAGATTTGTCATGGAGAAGCTGTTGGGAGACTTTACCAGCAAACGTGAGATCGACGAAGTGGTCCGGGAAGTTGACAACAACGGAGACGGGAAAGTTGACTTTGAGGGTAAGATAAATTTAGACACCAACATGGAGAGAAAAGCTGCACAAATGTGAGCATTACGTAACCTTCTGTTGCTGAGTGGGAGGATTGTTCTGTAAAATTACATAAACTACAATTAAACATGTTTAGTTACATAAAGCATTATAACAATTGCTAATATCTATCCCAGGGTTTATGCTGTAACTTGTTTTATTCTCACAGCTGCTGACTTCTCAACTTGTTAAAAGTTGATTCCAATTTTTTTTTATCACAGAATTTGTGATCATGATGTCAAAGAAATGAGGAAAACCAAAGAGAACCAGAGAAGAACAATGAAATGATGCTGAATCATGAACAGCAAATGGGTTGATCCCTTAATTTTTCAAATGAGGGCTCTTAGAAAAATACTGTTTAGGATTTTAGGTTTTAAAGTATTTTCAATAATCTTTTTTTACCTTTCCTGATCATAATCTGTCCAAGTCCATGAGCACTGATGATAATTTTTGTTAATTGTTAAAAAAGAAAATAAGTCATGTGACTTTTGTGCAGGAAAAGATGGTGACATTTCTGATGTCAGTAATAATAAAGACCATGTTCACTCGTTGTTTCATACATTTGCAGGCGTCTGTAGTGTTAATGGATGCTTTGTGAGTTAATCTCTGTGGGTAAAAAAGCTCTGGTACTCCTGTTTCAGGAGGTAGAAGTTAGTCGGAGGAGAGGAGAAAAGTACTTGCCAGGATTTGGAGTCTTATTTCCAGAAATTTGAACATCTCACCTCTGATTGACTGACAGCAACACAACTCTTCCACTGCCACCATTCGCTCTTTTACATTGATGTTTTTTCTCCATGAGTAAAACAAGCCTGAAGGAGTTCTGCCATATTGTGGTGTTGCTAATGCTAATGGTTATTTTCTACTAGTGAAGTCATTCTCGTTTCTCTCCGATGCTAAATCAGCAACAGCCTTGCTAATGCTAACTTTCAATGTGACTTGCAATTGATTGACCTCTCTTATCCGTGTGTTTCCCCATCTGTTTTCTTTCATGGCTGCTGCAGGAAATAGGGGTAGAAGAACATTTTCATGTTCAGCATGAAAACGGTTACTCAGTGAACTTGGTCTTGAAATGGCAGAAATGATGTGAATGCTCTGAAAAGGCAACTAGAGCTTTATAAACCAAAGGAGACCAAACACAGACGTTGGCATTTAGATCATTATTATTATATTACATTATTAGTGAGGGTGAGTGAGCTACAGACAGAAAGCTGCCTCAAAAAGAAGTTTTGTTTTTCTAATGCAATTGTTCCTTTGATTTTCCCATGTATGTATTATTAGGTGAACTGGTTATTCTTATCATAAAACAACTCTAGTCTTTGACCCTTTAGAGAGACTCTGTGTAATAAGATACTGTTGTTTCTACATTGTTGTGAGACTTTAGCTGATTCTCAATTGCTGCACCTGGTTATGAGCTGTAGGTATTTGTCTGGTTACTAAATTATGTGATGGACTGAAATTTTACATGAATGTTGTATAATTCATGTTGCATTTGTACAAACATCAAATTATTTCTTATGTAAGGAGCTAAAGCACACTGATCAGTTCAAGAGTTGAGTTCAATTGGTAGTTTTAATTGGTTAATTGAATAACCAAAGAATTTTGCACACCTGTTTAATTTTAAGTCTCACTAGTCATTATCACACTGGTGAAATTACATTTCTACATTCAAACCATCCCCATGGGGGTGGTGAGCGTTCAGGAACTATTTGGTAGTTTAACCCCCCAATTCCACCTCTTAAAGCTGTGTGTCAAGCAGGGAGGCATTGGGTCCCATTTTTTAAAGGTGTGGTTTAAAAATTTATTCAACACATTTGTAGTGTTCTCTAGTGTAAATGAATGCCTTATGAGTCATTTAAAAAGAGAAAAGCCATGATGCTCCTGTTATGAGATGCAGAAGTTAGCTGGTGCAGAGGTGGGCTGAAAACTGCTAGATTGCTCATTATTCATAATGATGTGCACACACCTCGCTTCTGATTGGATAACAGAACGTGTTCAGCCATGTTGCAAAGTCACCACCACAAAGACACTCTCCGCTCCCTCTCCTCGCTGCAAAGCATTTTTTTTATCCTTCCTGTGGGCGGGCACGAGCGAAGATGGGTGGGGCCAGGAATGCAAATTCACAGTGTGACATAGATATGTGAGGATTTTCAGATCCTAGCATTTCACCATCTGTTTTTTAATCAGAAACTAATGCAGGAAATCGGGTAGGGGGTTTTGTTATTCAGCATGCATGAAAATCTCAGAGTGACCTATTATAATCAGAAATAATAATTAAAAGTCAGTCAACCACAGCTTTAAAGTCTTTGGTATGACACGACCACAATTTGAACCCCTGAGATGGTGGCCTAGTAGTGGTGTGTCCTCCCTGAGACTAGGAGATTGGAGTTAAAATCCTGGTTGGGTCATACCAAAGACTTTAAAAATTATAACTTGGGGGCTCACTTGTTCACTTGTAATTCTGATGAAGACATATTAAACTTGCACCAATTTAACTTTTGAACTCATCATTGTGCTCTGGCTCCCTCCTAGCAGTTTGATGCCCTTCAGCTGTGCAGGTCCTGGTTTTCAGTCAGACGATGCACAGACGGCCTGGATAAAATCCCATTATCACCAGTTTGTTTATGGTTAAATAAATACTGTTTAAATATCAGCAGATGTCATTGTTGCACATACCAGAGATTTTAAAAAGAAGTGTTATTACAAACATTCTCAGGTCTCGGGAGAGTGTGTGTATTTTGTATTTTTTATGTATTTTTCTCAGAATGCACAGCTTTTGGCTAGAAGCAGTGACTTCTATGATGAACTGCTGTTTTATTAAAGCCTATTAGTTGTGTTTAGATTAAACTACTGATTAAGATGCTAACAGCATTAGCGCTGATTACCACACAGATCAAGGGCTACAGCCATTAACCAGGCGTGATGGTCTCTGTGACCCCTGGAGGACACGATCTCAGCGGGACAACATGTCCTCTACTATCTTTTCATCCACTTCAGCGGTTCTGTCCATCACTGGTTTTTCAAAGATTCTTTCTCATTTTCATGTCAGTTTGCTCTTTTGATTCTCAATATTTCCACTTGAATGACTTTTTCTGACAGACAGCAAGTGAATAAACTATAATCAATCTTCAATTTGCTGATAAACTGTGTTTTAAAGCAATAACATTGTTTTTTCACAGTTACGAGGCTTTTATAAGATGTAGAAATAATCAAAAATATTTTACATGCAGCCAAATGCCAGCATGTATTTCATGTGCAGACATGAAGAATCTGTCTGTGAGCAGATTACTTCTTAAAGATGAGGTTCTTGAAAATTGTAAGTCCATCTGTTCAATGGGTCAGCGTTTTATTTTAAAATAACAAATCTGGATTTCTTTCCAGTTTGGCGAAGGCATCTGTGGAACGGTCCACGAGGACGAGAACCACCGTGGTGAATGCTAGCTCGATGTGAAATCCTCCGTTTCTGCTTAAAATAGAGAGAATCAGAGAATTGTGTTTGTCATCATGTCTAAAACATCATATTCAGATTTTTATTTCCAAATCTGCAATTTTAAGAGACACGTGGGTCCAGAAATCCAAACATGAGCTTGTTTCTCACTAGACAGAAACCTGGATTAATTACAGCTCAAACCCAGCGCATTAATCCCAGTCCAACCAGGATGTCTGGTGTCATGTCACTTCTAAACGACAGATTGCTGGTTGTAATAATGGATATTTTTTTCTAAGCATCATGCTCATTTGACATTTTACTAATACTGTTGCATAATAATAAAAAAGCAATAGGAAAGTAGCTCATAATAGCTATTTTTGTCTTCCAAATAAATAAATTGTTGTTATGATTCATGAGCTTTTTCTATATTTTACTATTGAATAGAACATGGAGATTTAAAAAAAACTTTTCTTTTAGTTTTTTTTATGTTTTTAGTGACTTTCTTACTCAGCAGTGATCTGGAGAGTAAGTTCCCTGTGAGTATGAGTAGTAACCCTGTCACCGTTCATTAGATCTCACACACTTTGTATGGTAAACACACCGTGGTTCTCGAGTCATACATGACAAAATAGCACACAAACACACGTATGACCACATGTCGACCATCTCAGGAATAATCTGCCTCTCTGGGATGGATTAGGTCTGATTCTGTAATCCTCAGCATGGGACCCTCAGATGAGCAGATGGCAAATAAGACAAAATCAGCCCACTGGTTCCCATCTACTGTCTAAACAAAACAGAAATAGTCACACAAGGAATGGGATGAATCAACATGAAACTGTGGAAAACACGCTAATTCTACAGCTGAGATGATTAAAGGCCAGTTACTCAACAGTGCTATTTAGAGTATTATTTATTTTTAAAGTAGTATTTTTTGATTAAAATAAACATAAAAACGTTTCCCCATTAGAGTCTAATTTATGTTCAGTTGAAATCCATGGACACGTTTTCTTTATTTCATGGTGTCTGACATTTTATTTGGTTTCATTTCTAAGGCTTATTTTTATTTCTTGCCTTGAAAAAATGTAGTTTAAACAGAAAAAGTATTCTGCACAAAATGTAAAAGTCATTCAATTATGATTTTTTTTTCTTTTTACTGTTATTTTGATGGACCAGTTGGTGATTAAATAAATATTATAAACAAATATGTAAACAGCCAAACCAACAATCTGGAAACATAATAAAAAGACACTTAATAATTTATCATTTTTATCAATAGAAACATTCCAGCATTCAGAAAGGAGAATGTCACAAAATAGGAAAAAACACAATATTTTTGTTTCATTCTTATTTGGTTTAAATCTGGAGAGACCTAAACAATTAAATATGTATTTGTCAATTTAAAGTTTTCACAGTTTGGAGCAGTTTCAATTTTTGGTAACCTCGCTACTTTTCAAAATGAGAGCAACTGAAACTCCATCATGGCTTCCAAAAGAAATTGTAGAAAGACCTCATGCAACAGCAGCTCAGAACAGACGCCAGTAACAATAATACGTAGGATTTTGCACATGCTAACAACACATCATGGTGAACGGCATTCTGATGCTTGTATCTACAGATGCTAACACCTTCTTTAGGTTTGACGCATGAATCGTTGTCTAACAGCAAAATCCTGCATCGTTTTTGTAGTTTCTCCAAACATCCAGCACTAGGTGGCTTGTCTGATTCAGATTCACACAGTGATTCATTGGCTGAAATGAGATGCATGACCCGGGACCAGTGGGTTAAGTTAAGGCATCTCTGTATGTTGAACACAGTAGGAGTGGGAGGAAGTTCAGAGGTCAGGGGTGAACATGAAGTCCATCGCTTGTCTCTCTGCTGCAGCAACGTTCGGATGCCAAAGGTCCACACTCAAAATGACCCTGGGTCCAGATTCCGGAGAACCTTCAGAAACAGAAATTGTATCTGAGTAAAATGATCATTAGTGATGTTTAAGTCATGCTGCAGCTCCACAAACCCTTGTGAGAGACGGTGTGAAGGAAGGAATCATCAACAAGGAGGCAGTGTCCCTCAGACCAGCACTGAGGCTCGCCCCCCACCACCAGCTCACACAAAGGAGGGATCTGCAAACCTGCAAAGACAAAGTTCAGCATCCGTTGTGTGTGTGTGTGTGTGTGTGTGTGTGTGTGTGTGTGTGTGTGTGTGTGTGTGTGTGTGTGTGTGTGTGTGTGTGTGTGTGTGTGTGTGTGTGTGTGTGTGTGTGTGTGTGTGTGTGTGTGTGTGCATGTGTGTGTGTGTTTGGGTTTATGAGGACAAAATATAACTTTTAACCTGTAGTGTGTGGACATCTTCACATTGTGGGGACATTTGTCTGGTCCACACAATAACAAAATGCCCTAAAACATGGTTTTAGATGTATGGTGGGAATTAACTCTTGTTTAGGTTAGGGTTAGGAATAGTTATGGTTAGGGTTGGGGTATGAGTTGGGCATAATACAGTCACAAAAATGAAAAAAATAAATAAATGAATGGAAGTGAATTGAGGGTCCACACAAGCATATAAATACAAGTGTGTGTGTGTGTGTGTGTGTGTGTGTGTGTGTGTGTGTGTGTGTGTGTGTGTGTGTGTGTGTGTGTGTGTGTGTGTGTGTGTGTGTGTGCGTGCGTGCGAGCTCAGAATCAGAATCAGAATTAGATTTATTTGTTGTCATGTAGGTGAGAGGCTCATCTACTAGGAATTTGTTTTGGTGGCAAGGTACAAACATGCACTCAAGTCGAAGTCAGGTCATGCAGCATTTACATTAAGATACATCAAATAAATAGAAACATAGCTAGAAAAACAATCATATGCGTAGTAATGTGGGTCACCGGGGCATTTCTGTGTCTATTGGCCGATCATCGGTTGTTCAGGAGACTTATAGTAGATGGGACGAAGCTGTTTTTGTGGCGTGAGGTTCTGGTCTTTAAGGATCTGAGCCTCCTTCCTGAAGGTAGGGTTTGAAACAGTCCATGACCAGGGTGAGAGAGGTCAGCTGTTATCCGACCTGCACATTTCAGAGCCCTTGAGTTGTACAGGTCATGTACTGATGGAAAGCTGCATCCGATTACTTTCTCCGCTGAGCGCACTACCCGTTGCAGTCTTTGTCCCTGGCAGTGGCTCCTGCGTACCACACAGTGATGGAGGAGGTGAGTATTGATTCAGTGATGGCCGTGTGGAACTGGATCATTATCGTGACTGGCATGCAGAGCTTCCTCAGTTGGCGCAAGAAGAACGTCCTTTGCTGGGCTTTCCTGACGAGGGTATTGATGGACACCTCCCAGTTGAGGTCATGGGTTATGGTGGGCCCAAGGAAACGAAAGGAGTTCACAGGTGAAATCTGGCGTCAGGGTTATGCCGGGCATTGGTGGCGGTGTTCTCCTGAAGTCTACAGTCATCTCCACTGTCTTTTGCTCGTTCAGCACCAGGTTGTTGTTTCTGCACCAGGACGCAAGGCGCTCCACCTCTCCTCTGTATGCAGACTCATTCCCTAGGGATGAGCTGGATACTCGTTTCAGATGAGTATCCGGTACGGATAAAGCATTTTTGACGAGTATTTGACCAGTCAAATAGAGCGCCCGTCCCTCCCTACACACAAAACTCTGCAGCCGGGAGGCAGCTCGCAGCTCAGTCCGCGTCCGGTCCATCCACGCACACACACAGACAGTAACAGATCTCTCTGTGCTTGCTTCACTGTTCACATTTCTTCAGTACTCCCTATGTTTTCTTCAGTTTTCTTCTTTTTAAAGTTACTTTAAAGTTATTCAAAGTTACCTTTTTCGTAACGTACGTGGTAAATTTGACAAGACAGAGCTGAAAACGGCTCGTGCTGCGTCAGTCACTGCCTAAACTCCAGTTGCGGGGGGGGGGGGGGGGGGGGGGGTATCTTTACAGCATGTTCTAATGGGAAACAGGCTTCAACACAGACGGTTGTTTTCTGCTTGGTCCTAGAGCTCAACCAGTGTCAATTTAATATAGCGTAATATTTAAATACCGTAATAATGTTTTTGGATGGTAAAATGTGCAGGGATCAAAACTTGACTTTGGAAAAAGTGGGGGGACATGTCCCCCCTGCCCCCCCCCCCCTCCCAAATTACGTCCATGTAATTTTTTGCTCATTTTAAATATATTTTAATCGTTTTCTAAATTCTTTTTTTCTATTTTACATGTTGTGTTTTTGTGAAGCGCCCCGTGATTTTTATCTTGAGAGGCGCTATAGAAAAGATCTTTTCTTCTCTCTCTCTCTCTCTCTCTCTCTCTCTCTCTCTCTCTCTCTCTCTTAATGCATGCACTTAAATATTAATGTTCTGATTTTAGTGAAAAACTTGTTCTGTAATAGTTCCTTTACTATTGTGATCAAAAATATTTAATCTGAACTCTGAGGCTGCTCTGTAAATAGTTTTCAAATAAACAATACACATAGCAACTTCTGATCAGATTTAAAATAACGTATTGATGTAAACCATACCCACTTCCAGTTAAACTACACCCACTTCCGGGTTAGGCCACACCCACTCCGACTACAGATACAGATAATTTAGATGGTTGAACAGATACAGATACAGATACAGATAGTGGTGTACTCGCTCATCCCTACTCGTCCCCATCTGAGATAAGGCTCGCACATTTAAAACCAAGAGGATTAAAGCTAAATGGGTCAAAGAACAACAGGAACTAAAAACAGAAATTAACCTCAACCCTTTGTTAATGCATCTTTGGCAATTTACGTAACTTTGAGAACAATGCTCGCTTAGGTGACTTATTGTCATCATGTGTGCAGGGATTCCTGTTGGAACATAAATCATTGGGAATGTTGTGAAACAAAGTTCACATGAAGTGCATGGAATTATGTAATTAAAGCAGCAATCTGGAGCTTTTCCCCTTTCAGGAATTATGTATGATTGTTTTTAGAAATCTGTGAACATTGTAGTCTTACCCTGTGCTGTAATATAATGGCAAAGTGTCAGTACCCACCCCATCCCGGTCCCATAGAGTCCCAAGCTATTTCAAATAAGTACCACTCAGCATTGGCCAATGGCATTCGAGATGCACTTAAAGACATTAGTCAATCAGAGAATGGGCATGTTTGTGGAAGTACCTAGACAGATGCAGAGTTGGCCACATTTCTGATAGACCAGTAAGTCTTCTACTTATATTACATGAATTAACAGCATGAGAGAATAATAATTCTATAACGTGTTTTAGCTTTGTTGGCTGGCTAACTAGAGGTGTTTTTTTTTTTCAGCCGTAAGCATGGAAACAGGGAGAGTGACTCAAAGACACAATACATTTTTCCTCCTCTGGTTGGTGTCTTCTTGCAAAAAACTCCAGATTTCTGCTTTAAAGAGGTCCTTTACCCATATTTTTATTCCATTTGCAGTGGTCTATAGTAGGAATGAATGCCTTGTAAGTCGTGCTCTGGGGAGGAAAGCTCTGGTGCATCTGTTTCAGCATGGAGAATTCAGCCAGAGGAGAAAGTAGCTCCAGACAGAGTCTTATTTCCTGATATTTGGACATCTCACCTCTAACTTGCTAACAGCAGTTTTTCTCTACTACTGAATCAGTTTGCTTTGCAATGATGATGTTTTATCTCCACAAATATCACAAAACTGGAGGAGTTCTGCTGTGTGTTGGAGTTGCCAATGCTAACAGTTAGTGTCTAGCCCAGATGTTCTCTGCTGTTTCTTGGACACTAAAATAACAACAGCCGTTCCCGTTGTGTGTCCAGATGGATGACAGCAGTGTGACGTAGGTCTGTCAGGATTTTCAAATCCTAAAGTTTCACCGTCTATTTTCTATCCAAATCTAATGCAAGAGATAGGTATAGGAGACTATTTTCATGTTCAGCATGCATGTTAAACTCAGAGTGACTGATCATTTAAAAACAAAATGTTTCTGAGTGAAGGACCTCTTTACATGCAGGTGATTTTAGCAAATAAATGTGTTACAGCTCTGACATCAGGGTGTGCTACAGCCACTTGCTGTTTCAAGTTGAAAATGAAAGTGATGAAACATTTAACCCTCTTACTGTCCTAATGGGTGTGACCCCACGAGGAAAGTTGACCATTTAGCAGGGTTGATGGTTTATCGCTTGGGTCCATGTGGCCGGGGTGAGGAGTGAGCTCCATCTCAACCCTGCCACATGGACCTCAAGGGATAAACCATCAATCCTGCTCAATGGTCAACTTTCCTCGCTGGGTCACCCATAAAGACAGTGGGAGGGTTAAACTAGTTTGTGTGAAAATAACATTCTTTCACTTACCAAGATGACAGCGTAGGCGAGTGTTGGTGGGTCCATATGAGCTCCCAAGAGTAGCTCCAGGTCCCAAAAGCCAAAATCCTGCAGATCCCAATGAGTTGCTGTTGATGAACGTTCGCAGAGTGAGAAGAGTACGGTAGGTGCAGGGGCAGGAGCGACAGTTTCCTGCCACACACACCCCTGCACTGTACAAAGAAAACAGTGCCTGGCCCTGGAAAGAGGAGAATTGTATTCATTTAAGGCTAATAATCAATTCAAACATCAAACTCATCCCACTCTTACATTCTTATCCAAAGCAAAGTGATGCTGTCTAACTAAGTAACTCACCCCCTTGTTAAATCATGAAACATTAAATGTGATTAAACACAAGTTATTGCCTTTATAATTAAGGAAGCACTTTAAAATAACTTGAAGTACACTCAAATAGCTAAATAGGATGTCTTTGGAAGTTGTGTGTTTATCTGGCGTAAAACTAACGTTTCTGGAGTTGCATCATCATACAATGGCAGTTTGATGGTCTGGGGATGCTTTGGACCACTGGTTGTAACTGACGGAACCTATTTTTACTCTCTGCCAGAAACTGTCTGAACTTTGACCTTAAATGGGTCATTCATGCTGGAAACCTCTCCAAAGTGGCTGAATTACAACAATTCTGTAACACTGAAGTGTGAAAAAAGTCAAGTTTTTACAAGATGGTCGAGTTCCCTGTTGAACAACACCAGCATGTGTTGTGTTATGGATGCCAGTATGCAGGTCTAGCATGCATGTCCAGAATCCAATTAAAAGCATCCCATGCTGGTCCTGCAGACCACATGCTGGAAAGATGGAAGATCTACGATCTGGATCATGTAGTTCAACTCACCATAAAGAGTTTGCTGTTTGTGCTCTATGGTTATTCCCAATACAAAAGATTATTAGATTATAACATAAATTATACCCCACCCTGTCTAAATGCATAGAAATTATTCAAACAAAACAAAGACTAAACCCTTCACATCAGACTGTTCAGAAAACATTTAAAACAAAATCTAACCTTAAGTCAAAATGCTAATTTCATAAGCATCATTCCGTCCGCGAGCTGTGAAAGTTAAGTTGAGTACCTTTGGTCCCACAAAGGTCCAGCCTGATTTTGAGTCAATGCCTCGCTGGTAAACAGCCTGAAATTCAGCTAAGATCAGATGGTAGTTGGCTTCCAGAACCTCGATGTCATGTCGATGAGCGTCACGTGGAAAAAAAGGAACACTTGGGACATCTGGCAAGAAGAAGAGATGGGGCCTCTGTATTGTGGAGAGATCGTTCAGTCGGACCTAAAGTGTGAGTTTTGGCAAATTAGTGATTATTTGGTGACAAGATTTCATTTATTTGTTGTCAGATCTGAAACGAAAATTATTCTAATGCCATGAAATTCAGTGTAAAGCCTTACTTAATTGCAGCTACTGCCTCTCATACCTGCTCTCGAAGGCCCTTGTGAATGCGGCCCATGCCCACCCAGCTGTAACGCTTGGCGTACTCCTGCAGAGCCGTGTACAGCTTCTTGGCTTCTGCAGAGGCCTGGGCAGGGAACAAGGCATGACTCAGCACTGGGGCGAGGTAACTGTGCCCCTGCTCCTTATCCTTCACAGTTTCCATGGAAATAAAGGAACTAATCTGATCACTCCTGAACAGCTTGGACCGAGCATTGCACTTTGTTCCAATACAGATGCCACTCCGGGACATCATGGAGCGTCTTGAGCTTGACTTGAGCTTCCCTGTGCCTGGAAGAGGCAGATCAGAGCCGATCCGATAGCAGTGCCACAGAAACAGGAGCAGGAGAGTCCACAGAAGGCCGCTCAGTGATTGGACACCAAGCTCAACATACTGAGGCAAAGGTAGTGTGCTCATTGACCAGTGCATCCTTTAAAGCTTTGGAGATACTGAAAAAGGAAAAACAAGAAAGAAATGATGATTAAACTATGTTCAGTGTGGCAAAGAAAGGAATATGTCTGTTTTAAATATGTAACAATGAAAATTATGATTTATTTTGATTTAAATTATTTAACAGTCATGAAGCTGGAAATAGTTTTATTTCTGGGAGATTTTAATATTCATGTTGATGACAGCACTTCTGGCCTGGCGGTGGAACTCTTAAACAATGACTGAATCTTTTAATTTTGAGCAGCATGTTTCTGGCCCCACCCATCAAAAAGGCCACACTTTAGACCTTGTGTTTTCACTTGATCTTAATATTGCTAATCTTTGTGTGAAGGATGTCCACATGAGTGACCATAGCTGTGTTTTATTTGATTTGCTCTTCAATCCTGAGTCCACGCCTTCTGAGATCACATCACAAAGGCGCATCATTACAGAGAATACAGCAGCAAGATTCTCTGAATTGTTTGACTCTAATTTGATCTTGGAATCTCAGAATGTGGACAGTTAACAGTCTCTGTAAATCCATTTTGGATGAGGTTGCTCCTTCTAAATCAAACCTGGTACCTCGGAAATCGTTTTGTCCATGGATAAATGACAGCATTTAGAACATGAAAAGACTGTGCAGGAAAACGGAACGCCTGTGGAAGTCTACTAAACTTGAGGTCCATAGGCTGCACCTTAAGGACTGTTATGGAACAGTTTGTGTTTATTAATTATTGATCATTGACTCAATCAGCTGAATGTGGATGTATTGCTCTATGCCTCTTTGGTCATGCTCACTCATTCGGACACGCCCACACGGGCCACTCACGCGCACGCACGTATTCTTGACTTCCTACACACACACATACACAGTCTCTCTCTCTCTCTCTCTCTCTCTCTCTCTCTCTCTCTCTCTCTCTCTCTCTCTCTCTCTCTCTCTCTCTCTCTCTCTCTCTCTCTCTCTCTCTCTCTCTCATTCCCCCTCCCTATGGATAGACTTTGTGACCGTATGTTCGGTGCATTTTGCCTCGTGCATCTTGCCACAGTTATAACTGTTTAACTTGTCTGCTCATGGTCTCCATCCCTCTTCACTGTAGGAAATGGGTTATTGATAAACATATTGATAAAATCCATGACATTATTTGGTCTTTCGAAAGCCGGGGTCCCATCGCCTCGCAGCGCCAGAAGCTGACGCCGGAAAACTGTCGACAACCTAAATCTCCTCTGGCGCTGTGCTTTCGCTGGGGTCGGTTTGAGGATCTTGACGTTGCTGAGGGGGGATGCAGATCCACGAACTACTCATGCCCTGAGTGGAGAGATTTGGTGAGACAAGTTGTTTTTTGTCGCATTGTCTTGTGGTACCGAGAGAAATCCTAGGTGACCAGGGGTTAAATTGGTTTTTGGGCGTTTTAGCCGGAAAATATAAATGCTGACAGATTCCTGGAATGCTGTTTTGGTCAGGGAGCAAGATAAGCAGATTCCGGAAATGCTCTATTGGCTTGGTTTTTTGGGCATTTTTGCCTAAAAATAAACGCTACCCTGGTGTGATAAAGTTATAAATGATAAATAAATGAACCGGTGTGATAACTAAGAGGTTAAATTGGTTTTTGGGTGTTTTGGCCGGAAGTATAAACGCTACCCTGCTATGGGGGAATTTGGCTTGGGTCTTTGGGCGTTTTGCCTTGAATAGAAACGCAACTCTAGTTATCTGTGTTGCTGTTTGTTTGTCTTAGATGTTGTCTGCTTTAATTGTTGTTCGAATGGATGAGAGAGTGTCTGGACTTGCTTATTCGTGTAGAACGAAAGATATGGCAAATCGTTTGGACATGTTTCAAGTTGGTGGTCAGACTTTTAAACTGGTTGGCTGATAAGTGAGTCCCGCTGTGTTTAGAGACACAGTTGGAGGGCAGATTCGTGAGCCTAAATCTGACCTCATGCCGAAGAAGAGACGGTGGGGTTTCTATATGGGGAAATAAGAACTCACAAAATACCTTTTCAGTAAATATTGCACATTGATGGAAATGTAGGTCCAGAAAATGTGGAAATGGTCTGAAAATCATCAGAGGAATCATGGAAAACGTGATTTTGATAACCGCTGACGTGTCATAAATGTATTATGCTTACGAGGAAGCACAGAGCGGTGGAGAGAAAAAAGGGTTGAAGTTGTGAAACAGAGAGAGAGAGCCCAGCCAGGCTCAAACAAAAGAAGAGAAATAACCCAAACAATGGTTGCTGTGCTCTGAGCTAATAAGGTCTTATTAATTGAGGCCTGAAGGTTATAACTAGAAAATTAAAATGGAAAATATAATTTGAAACAGAGTTTGAACACTTGAAACTAAGTGTGAAGCAGTTGGACAGTTGCTTTGAGGTTTTCTGTCCTCTTTTGAATGTAAACATCGACATCGACTCATGCTTTCAGAGCCAGTAGAGATGAGAGTAGGATACTGCTGACACAGCCGGCTCGGCCGACCTTGCGCACTTTAGAATTGGGAGAAATAAATTATGCAGTTTCAGACTGAAACATTTAAATGTTGGTAGATTTTAAATAGCTTAATGAACATATTTATTGCTGAACACATCAAATAAATTTATTTAAATTTGAATCAAGCTAATTTAGTCAATGATCAAATTTTTTTTAAGGGCAGACGGGATGAAATTACCCATATTCATAACTTGGATTTCATAAAACATGATAAAGTTTAAAAATCTTTGTTACAAATCTAAATTTATCTATAAATAGGATTTGGCTGAGGAATGTAATTTAGCTTACTGAGTGATTCGGCTGCTTCTTAGTAAATTCAATTGTTTTTTTTTATCTTTTAATGTGACTGAGTGGGATAAGGCCAATTCTCAGTGCCATGCCAAACCTTGCTGTCTCCTTATCATAACCCAAACAGAAGGAGACTGCTGGAGGCTACGCTGGCCTATTCACACACAGAGTGGGGCCTGACCCTTCTCCGAGTCAGGTAGTTAGCTGATTCCTCTTGATCAGTGGTTCCCAACCTTTTTCCCAAGGGACCCCTTTTTTTACCAGTCAAATTTTTGACGACCCCCTCCCATTCTCTCTTCCAGTACAAACATTATTAAGAAATGATAAAATTGTTCAAGCACATTTTAATATGCTTTGATTCAATAGATAACAGTAATAGTAGGCTCCAGTACAGAACAAAGTCATTAACAAAACCAAACAGAGCATAATGTGCTTGACAGTTTGTATTACTTTTCTGAACACATTGTTTCTTGTAAACACTGATAAATCAATCATTCCTTTCAATAAACGATTGACACATAAAAAATACACTGAGCAAAATGTACTTAAATGTGTATATTACTGTTTATACTAAATTATTTACTGTAAAGGCTGTGATTAATAAACCAGTCATATCTTTAATGAACTTTTGACACTTGAAAATAAAACAGTGAGCTGAGCAAAATGTTCTTAAAAGTGTGTTACTTTTTCTGTACTAATTATTTCCTGTCTTAATATCAGTAAACTTTTCACTCATGAAAAAAAATGTGAGCGAAATGTAGGCTATAAACAAGTAATAAATGAAGTTTTAACCCCTTAAAGTGGAGATGTCCTGGCGACCCACTGAGAGGCTTTGGCGCCCCCTTGTGGGGGTCGGGAAACCCAGGTTAGGAACCACTGCTCTTGATGATCTGCCAACTATCTGACGCTATTGCATCTGCTGACTAACAATAATACCTTGACCATGAGGGTAAACCAAAATAATATTTAAGCAGAATGTACAAAGTTGCCCCTGATAGGAGATCATATGAACTGTCATGGAATATCACAGATAGGAATGACGGTTAAATGTTATGTTTTTTTCAACCTAAATTACCTTATCCTTAGGAAATTAGGGATTAAAGTATGATGTCCTGAACTTTTAAAAGTACTGATTGTGTTTTCTTTACATTATCGTATCTTGAACCTTGATCTGGTTCGCTTGCCTTGAGCAGATTCTTAGACATCATCCATCAGAGACTATCCAATATCTTTAGAAACATCATCCATTTGAGATTTCTAGATACAATGGTTTATAGTTTGCTGTTATCATATGACTTCTTAAAGGTCAGACTCCTACACGAACCGTGTGTTTAGTCCATTCATAACTTTGGAACTTTCCTAACAAATGAATCTTATAAACAAATCTCCCCATTTATGGTTGAAGTTACCTAGACTTGCTTTTGTGTCCATGATTTTGGTAACGTCTACTTTGTGATGAGTTTCTTTTTATGAAGATGTTAAATGAACTGAATAGTTAGAGAATCTAGTTCTTTGAAGTTATGAAAAGTTCTCTACCTTGTGTTATCTATCTATGTCTAAATTAGATTAACTGTTTATGTAATTAATATTGAACTCCTTCCTAGTAGGTTACTGAATACTTTCTGTCATTTTTGCTAAATCTTTATTTTGCCCGTTCTTTGTACCTAATCAGCTCCCACTTTATTATCACCTTCTTAATTCAACATAGAGAGAGCAGCTCTCGCCCTTGACTCATCATCATTGTTTTGTTATTGCTAGACAAGCATTATGAGAAGACACTTGTCCTAAATGACCCTTAGAGTTGATCAGTAGCATGATGACCTGACAGATGTTCTTTGATGGTCACATTCATTTGAGAATGGCCTGATTACATATGCATCTAGTAGTTTTTAATTTGTCAGTCTTTTATGTTGTTTATTTCTTGTTGTTTTGAGAGTATAAATGCTTTAGTTGTTCATAATCACACTTAGTTGTACTCCTCTGATTAACCTTTAAATTAATTAGCGCTCTTCCTCGTGCATTTCTTTGTTTCCTGTAGTATTACCATTTCATACAAAATACACAATTGTAAATTATGAATTATTTCTTTGTTTGTTCTTTTCTTTTGTTTAGAACATCTTTTCCCTTCCTGAAACAATTATCATCTTTTCAAACACCTTTAGGGTTGTGTGTATCTAAGAACACCATCAGTTGTTTTATTTTTGATTGTTCACTGTCTCTATGTGACAAATGAGTTTTATATTCCTTTGA